CCCCAAAACCCCAAAACCCCAAAACCCCAAAACCCCAAAACCCCAAAACCCCTTTCAGTAAATAGAATGTTGAATTAAATAATATTGAACATTAATTGGGAATTAATAATGCCAGGTTTTTCATCAAGACATCAATCATGAGGGTTTTCAAAGGAAGACCTAAAAAATTGGGGTTTATCAACAAAAGAGAATAAATACATAGTCCAAGGAAATTATGTATTTACTTCTAAAAATAAAACAAACTTATTGAACGTAAGCTTCTAATAAAAATAGTTATTTTTAACTACATCAAACATGATGAGCAAGTGTATACTTTTATAAACCTGACCAAACATTATTATATAGCCTGATAAGTTTAGAGCAAAGGATAGAAACAGCAGGATTTCACAAAACAGTTCCAATGCAACCATCTTCAGTGAGTTTAAAAGAAATCACCCCCTTTCTGGAACAAACTCTGGATGTATGAGTAGGTTTAAAAACTTCGTTTGTATCTTCCATAAAGAAATCAAATCTTGATAAACCTATACTGAAATATTTAAAATATAAAGCTCATTCTGGTTTTTAGCAAACTGAAGTTCTCCGAATAGCAAGAAGGCAGACATAACCTCTGTTAATAAAAGTTTTAGGAGTTCTCTGACCAAACATTTTGAGTTTCCCAAAATAAATTCCCCTGCTCCTATCAAGAAGAGGGTAATCAGAAGACTAAATGAGAAAGATTTCTTTATCAAAAGGACAGCGTATGAGATACTAGAAGATGATCCTCAACATATTGCAAAGCCATACTTTGTACTAAAAGACTTAAAAGCTAGTAAAGTACACAAATATAAGTAATGTGCAAACCAGAAATTTAAAATATAAAAAGAATGAACTGGTGAAGCGTTACCACAGCAAAATTTATACTGGAGAGTTAGATAAGTATGCTAAACACAAGCTTGATCTCTTCATTCAAAGAAAAGTATTCCAAAAGAATACAAGTCTTAGAGGAATTGCAGATATTTCAATGGCGTTCCTATCCAATCCCTAGCCACTCAGAATTGGATAGTTCATATTTGGTTTTTATTATAATCAGGTAGCTATCAACTGTATTCATATTTAAGGGGTTTTGGGGTTTTGGGGTTTTGGGGTTTTGGGG